ATCCTTAATTCGAGAACGTCTAAAGTCCCGTGCATAATGCATCTACTTCGTAGTCTTCTGCTAGCAGCAGCGCAGTTCAGCTTTACCTTCTCTGCGGTTCATGTCCCCGGTGTACAGAACCCAATTGCTGACGCACTTTCCCGCTTCCGTTGGCAGGACTTTCGGCAGTTAGCCCCATGAGCCAGGCCCGTGCCCACTCAGATCCCGGGTCACGTGTTGGAGGACTTCACATCTCAGCTCTAGAAGCCCGTTGCCGAGAGCTGATGAAAGAGGGATTAGCTCAGAGCACCCGACGATCCTACGCAAGCGCCCAGAACAGATTTACAGCCTTTTGCTTGCAGTTTGGAAAAGCCCACGCGGACGGCTCTGTCTGTCCAGCAGATGAATGGACTTTGTGCCTGTTCGCGTCATTCTTGTCTCAGTCCTTGAACCATGCGTCGATTAAGGCCTACCTTTCGGCAGTCCGTGCGCTTCACGTAGAGCAAGGCTTTCCTGACCCCTTGCTTGACCGGCCAAGACTACAGAGAGTGATAAGAGGCATTAAACGCGTCCACGGGACCAAAGCCACGGATCGTTTACCCATCACTGATGACATTATGTGGTTGATTCATGGACATTTGGACATGTCCCAGGTGGATCACTTAATGTTTTGGGCAGCCTGTTGCCTAGCTTACTTTGGTTTCATGCGTTCTGCGGAGTTTACTGTACCTAAATTAAGCAGTTATTCTTCAGCTATTCACTTGAGCGTGCAAGATATAGCAGTAGACTCTATAGACGCGCCGTCGTGTCTTTGTGTGTATATTAAAGCGTCTAAGACTGACCCATTCCGAAAGGGTTGTCGAGTTTACGTGGGTAGGGCCACCCCTCCTTTGTGCGCAGTCCATTCTCTATTAGCGTATCTGAAGATCAGAGGAGATTCCCCAGGGCCATTGATTTTGTTGCAATCTGGTCAACCGTTGACACGCCCTCTTCTTACCAACTGGCTTAGAAAACTCTTGTTGTTGGCGAATATTCCAGGGAACTATTCCAGCCATAGTTTTAGAATAGGCGCGGCTACGGTAGCAGCCCGAAACGGAGTTCCCGATCACCTGATACAGTCGATGGGCCGGTGGTCCAGCAACGCCTACCAGCGATATATCAGATCCCCAGTGGAGGTATTGGCTTCAGCCTCGGCACGTTTATCGAAATAAAGTACTGTCTTTGTCGTCGGATAGTGCCTTTCTTATTCTACTGCGAGTTGCTGAGGCTCTCTGCTTGCATGGGTTAGGTGCTTGTGGTAGTTGGGGGTCGTAGGTACCATGGCCCCCGGGCCATCGTTCCTCTCCCAAGCACCTTGGACTATAGTTGGTGAGCTGTGGCCCGGTCGCCATGGTTACCTCCGTGGTAGGGCGTAGTCTGATTGATGCGCACAGCTCGCACCATGGTACCTAACCCCAAACTTATCTAGACGATGAGTTTTAA